ACTTACCACATTCCTTGAAATTGAAGAAAGTTGCCATGGTTATTAGTAGCTCCTAATGATATTTGCATAGATTAACAGACTTTAATGCAATCATGAATGCTACAATCCCGGGGAAAATAATGAAGAAATCCATTATGAGGTAATAAAATAACTAAGTCAATACAGTAATAATTTGATCCCATATTAGTAATAATTTCATCTCCTGCTGCAAGGCAATTTTAATGCACATACCATTTCTGGACAGTTTTATAAATATCACCTTTGTTTGAGATAATTAATTAGCAAAATCAAAAAATATATTGCTGGTATTTTGTACGATAAATTAGTCATTAGGTTTAAACTGGCAGGCTGTAATAAAACTTATTAAGATAAATATGCTGGGATTCTTAACACTTCGGAGAAGCTGTTCTCCTCTGTCTTAAGGCTCTTCTAGTGCAGAGCTATCATCGCTGCTGGATGGTTTCTGTGTATGTTAAAACCCAATTATGAAAATCATGTTTATAACCCTGACTTGCTTAGCAATAGGAGCAGAATGCATTAGCCCATATGTGCCCAGTAGACGAGGCTAAGGTGAGGGTGAGTTGCTGAGGGCCCTATTATCTCACTTCCCATCGTCAGTCAGAGCCCAGAGCCTCCTGCAAGACTAAACCAAACTAACTTCACTTCAGAGGACCCCAGGTCCAGGTCATTCTGCTGATTGAGGGGAGCGTTTTGCAGTCAGAGCCAGGGGAGAGATGGGGTGCTTACCAATTCTAGTTTTCTACTTCTGCTCTAATTTTGTGACTACTGAATTTTTTTGTGCCTTCCAGAAGTGCCTGGAAATCACAACAGACCCCAGCAACATCTGTGACAAAGTGGCCATTGGGGCCAAAAGATGCTACACTTGACAGTGACCACCATTTCCAGCGCTCTGAAATGTTCCCTCCATGTGGCTGGAGCTCCGAGAAAGGCTTTGCTGTGTGTTTGGGGAGCTGTCCCAGCCAGATGGCACAGGCTGGCTGAGGCTGTCAGTACTGGATGGGGACCAGCTCCTTGCAAGGAGCACAGATCTTGCCATCTAATGAGCTGATCTTGGCTCCCTGGAAGACTGTGCTGTGTGGCCAAAGCAAGGTTTGCCATTCTGGGCTTCATGACACCACTATCCAGGAACAGCGATATTAAATCATTAGATCGCCTTTTCAAAGGGCATTGTTTGGGTCTTGCTTAAACATCCCCTGAGCCAGTTTACTGTCATCTTCTCAAGGCATTACAATCTTCCACTCCAGCCAAACTCTGCCCTCTCCCCACAGTTCTGCATCTGGCGAGGTTTCCAAATCCATGTCACTTTGAATTTGGAATGGTAGTAAGTGACACAAATTGATGATACATCAAACTCTAGGTCTCTGTGTGGGCCAATTCTCAATGCAAAATAGGAATGTCCCCAAAACCTCATTCTCATCTATAAAAAAACACACAAGAATTCAATATTTAGCTGGGAGTAGGCCATGAGTGTTGTTGAAATCTGCTACTAAACCAACTTTGTAGTAAGTAGTCAAAAGACAGAGAAAGTTGCAATAACCATTTCTCCTCCCATTCAGAAAACCACATCTGTTATAATACCATTAGGGCAGCACAATACATTATAGAGCTAAGAAACTCACTCTACTGTAGAAACACTCCTAATACACCATGGGCATCACTCTTGAAATAAAATGATAGAATCAATATTTTGTCATACTTGTTTAGCTTCTTTGGGGAGAACAAATGTTTTCCCCCACCATGTAGCACTGCCTTCACTTTGTGGATACTTTTTCATTGATGTACAAAGTGCTTTATGTACAAGTATGATTTAGGAATCCCATAAGCTCTGGAGCGCTGGAGGCTGGAAGAGCAACTGGGGCAAAAATCATTGTACAAGCACTTTATTCTTAAATTTTATTTTATTTTTTTTAACCACGCTTCTTTTAAGCATGGCCAGCATTGGAGAAGGTTGTTGGACTACAAGGACCTTCAATAGACACAGAATGGCCATTATTATATAATCATATCACATTCCAGTGCCAATTGGCAGGGTCCACCACATTCAGTTGGTGGGCTGTATGCCTTGCTTTTTAATGAGACCTTATTAGACCTGAATTTCCAGTACTGATATTGGGCATATTAACGGGAAAGCTGTTTAAAAGTGCTGTGACATGAAGAGGACTGCAAGTCTAGGCAAGACATTAGAGATTATTCAATTTGCTGTTGTTTGTGGACACATGTCAACACAACCGCACTCTCTGTTCTGTCATCTGTGATTTGGTGCTTTCAAATACACAACATTTGCTTTGACTGCTCAAAGGGGAAGGCAGGGTTTTTTAGGTCCAGATTTCTGGGTGTGGGTTTCCTCAAAGTTGTCTGAGACTTCTAATTATCCATTGGAGCTATTCCTTTGGATGATCTCCATTGTGCCTTCTCTGTGACAAACACAAATGATCCAAGTTCTGCTCAATGTCTGTGACCCATGAGTGATCTGGCACCTCCCAAATGATGTTTCAGTGATGGCTACTGGGTGGGTTCTCTGTTGGCTATTTTATTTTTCTCCCCTGTATGCACTGATAAATGCAAAACACAGAGTAAAATAGGATGTTTTTATAACTACCAAAAGAAACCACTGAACTACTTGGGAGAATTTTGACATATTGGTAGCACCATACTATCCCTCTCACTAAGACCTCATGGCTACACAGGATGAAGTGACAAAACATTTAAGGATGAAGGGGTAGACCTGTGAAGTCTACCTCATCTTGTTCAAGTTGGAAAAGCCCCTCAGTAGCTGGTCATTTTGGTCTTAGCTGGATCATGAGAGGTTCGGAGACCTTTGAAGCCCAGTTCTGTTTGGCACCAGGAATCCTCAGCTTCCCTGCACTGCTAAATAAAACGACCTCAGGGGTGAGGGCAGTGAGGAAAAGGCCTTCAGCATCTCTTGTGGAAAAGTGACCACAGCGACAGGCGTCTCACAACTGCCATTCCCACAATCGTTCCCCTTGTCAATAGGATGACCTTTCAGAGGCAGAAGTTCCTTTTTATTACTCTGTGCACTGGGGTAAAGCAGGCCACGCTGTGTTATCTACCCAATTTATCAACACTATTTACAGCAGGTCCATTCCACTGTCTGGCTTAACTCAGTGCCCAGAGACTTGGCATTGAGAGAGGAGGCTGCTGCTGAAGAGAAAGAAATGTCAATTCCAGCCTAGTCCCCTAAAGTGAAATAAAAGAAACAAAGTAAATAAGGAAAGAGAAGTAAATACAGTATCTCCAGGGTGATTGCCTCTATCTAGTCCAATACACGCAAGTATGAAACCAATAGAAACACCATCTTATCCTCGCAGTTATCACCACACACAGAATGTCATCTCTTGGTGGCCTAAAAAGAAAGAAGTGTGCTGTATCCATTTTAATGAATACGACATATCTCTCACCTGCTTGTATTTTAGCAACTCCAAACTGCTGAAAAAGGAAATGGGAGAATTTGTTCTTCTTGTTTGCCCTGAATCATGAGGATGGATTAAAGTAGTTTTTGTTCTGCTTTGTTTTTTTAAGGATTACTTTGGGTAATTTTGTTTTCTTTCTGTTCTTCTATGCTTTAAGGATTCAGGTTTGCCATCAGTTCTCCAGAACCTGTGATCAAGATGTAATCTTTTACTCTTTTTAAATTAGAGAAAAACAGGTTGTTGTATGCACAGACAGTTTTAAGGGCTGCAGGTAATTGGAAAACACCGAGTACCATGAGACTCACTGTGGAGTCACAAGGGTGGCAGTCTACTCTCCATCACACTCAAATCATTTGAGCCTTGAGCCTGCCTTTCTAGCAGGTTCAAATTCACTGCAGTGGCAAAACAGGCCATATCTTTCTCTTATGGTACTGCTGCCTGGTCTGTAGGGATGCTCAAGCCATGAGATGAAGGGGATGCTGCTCTGATACTTCACAAAACGTCTCAGCAGATAGCTCTTATCATCATGTCTTCCTGTCATATCATCTGTACTGCCCCCTCCCCTCAACAAGGATCATGCTGTGCCCATCCATACATTCTTCAAATGAGTTAATATATTTATTATATGTTTATCTGTCTTACTCCCCTACACCCTGGATTGATATCGGTCCTTGACAAAAACACTAACTCAAGACTAAACAGGTAGTCATCAATATCTCGGATTTTATCTTCTATTATTTGGACCAGTATTGAACCATCACAAGGATGGTCCACGGGGACTGTGATGAACAAAAGAATTTATTTGTTTCCCTACAGCTAAAATATGGCCCCCACAAACCCTACAGCTGTGATGTATCACAATGTCTGGACATACTCAGAAATCTAACCCAACCACCTCCTCACAGATTTACAAATCAATCAGAGCAAAATCAGGAGGCCTGGTGGAGGCTGCTTTCTTAAATCATATTTGAAATGTGAAATTAAGAAAATAGGAAAAAAAAATGAAAGAAAAGACCTATGTATAGAGGGCAATTCAGACAGGTTTCACCGAAACGAAGGGCTCTGTTCAGGTTTGCTATTGTAATTACACTTTATTCCTGCCTCTCTTTCATGACTGCCTACAAAGTGGCCCTTGGCAGCCTTCCCTCTAAGCAGTCCCTTTAGTTTATTGCTCCCCTGTAGCTGGGATCCATACCTGTCTATGAGAGGCACCTAAACAGATGCCTGGCTGAGGCCCTAAAGAAAGTGCTTGCACACACCTTCAAGTCAGAGCTTCATTCTAGACACTGTGGACTTTGGCTATGAAGCTGATACAGCAGATGACACGAAAGGAGGAAACCAAAGATATCAAGACCACATTCCTGCTGATCCTCGTAAGTACTTCACCAGGGAATAAGGGATCCAGGTCAGGATAATGCGTTAAGTTCCTTAACACTGCACTGGGCTTGCTCACAGCATGGCTGTTGACCACCTTGGGTTCCTAATAGCAGGAGCAATGAGTCCTGGGTGCATCCAAAAGCAAAACAGAAAAAATTTAACAGGATTAGCTTATACCACTTCCAGAACATTTATTTCTCCTGTAATTCCCTTTGTAACTCCATCCTTGTTTACACTGGTGAGCATGATGCAGCACATCACTGGTGATGAGTTGTTCCAGCGTCACTGTCATTCAGCTTTTGGTAGCTGCCTCCTAAGAGTCTCATGGTCATTTGGGCACTGCCAATGTTGTAAGATGCCTTTAACACTCCCATCTGATTGGCAGTGAAGTGTGACACCACTAGCACTGAACTTTCTGCAGTGTCTGTTAGAGATAAGGGGGGGGGAAAGAAACTTGAATAATTTATATAGTTAGTTTAATTTAAATAATTTATATGCTAAGCATTGCAAACAGAGCTGAAGTTGATAATGAGTCCAAGAAGCACATTTTGAACTCAGTTGCAGATTCTGCTGCATTGTAATTCTTGCAGGATACAGGATTTCCTAGCCATATAGGAGTGTAAACAAGGTAGTTGCTTGAAGAAGAGTCTGTACAGATTCTTTCTTTGCCAATTACCATCAGATCATCTTATGTTCTCTACAGTTTGTTCAGTTTGAACCTCCTAAAACTATCAAAAGCTGCATGTGTTTTCCCAAGCCACAGAGAGAAGACTGGCTCCATTGTTTGACAAATAACAGTGTGTAACTGGTGTAATCTGTAATCAGGAATCAATTAAAGAGATATCAACAGGAAAGGAAAGATAAGGGAAAACCAGGAGAAAATCAATGAACAACATAAGGGAATTGATCATTCAAAGGGTCTTTCTTAAGCCACTGGGTCCTCTCAGAGGAATCTTTGCTGCATGTTGCATAGGCTTTGTCTTATCTTCTTCAGCTTTTTCTGAGCTGTTTTACATGAGGAAACCCTTTCTTTTTAGCAATGAGGTAAAAAAAAATATATCCAAGACCCCCACCTCCCAGCTTCGTTGAGTGGCCATTGCCTTTTATACTTAGAATGCAAGTGAGATACATCTGAGAGGTTGCTTAGAGCTAAAGAAAATTGATGCTAAACTTTGTGAATTCTTGCATGAATTCACAGGGAATATCTCCAGGAACACTTTAAAAGATGTACATATCCTCCTCAGGGATGCAAGCATCAAAGAGATCACTAGCACATACCTCATGAAAAATGATTTCCCACACATCCTTACAGAGTTTAAGAACCATCTTTGTCATAGCAGACCAGCTATTTGCTACTAGCTTCTTTTATCAAGATTTTTTTTCCTGCTTGAATTTCTAACATCCTTAAAAACATACAGACTAGTTTCAAAGAAGCACTAGAACAGCAGTAATGAATCCATATTACCAACTCCATCATTGTTTTGAGTGTCAGGATATTTTATGTTGATCCATGACTCCTCCCAGAGTTCTGCTGTTTTGTGTGCAAATCACAGGTTTCAGTTAAAAAATAAATACCTTTCCAGACATGAATTGTTGTGAACAACAAAAGCCTGAAAATATAAACCAGGTCCTGAGCTCTGGAGACTTGAAAACTTTGAGAGAAGTGAAAAGAAGCTGCAAATGTAACTATTGGGGAAAAAAAAGAAAAGAAAAAAGAAAAAAGAAAAATAAAAAGAAAAAAAGAAAAAGAAAAAAAAAGAAGAAAAAAGGAAAAGGAAAAGGAAAAGGAAAAGGAAAAGGAAAAGGAAAAGGAAAAGGAAAAGGAAAGGGAAAAGGAAAAGGAAAAGGAAAAGAACCCGGATGTTTTTAGGGGGTCTTATTCATCACTTTTGACCATTTGTATGCTGGCACAGTAGTGAAACCACGAAACACTTTGGAGCTTTTTCTCATAGAATGCCAAGATTTCTGTCATTTCCTCTCATCAGTTGTACAGCAGTTAGGGAATTCACATGCCCAATGAAAACAGCACTGACTGTAATACAAAGAACTAGTTCCAAGGACTTTTCAGGATCCAAAGGGTGTCAAAGACAAAAGCTTATCGTGAGGAAACCATCTTCCTCTGACTGCCAAGGAAGACAAATGGAGTCCAGGCTCTCTCTGAGCCCCACAGGTAGGTTTGGGAAAGATCATACGTGTAGAGAAGACATGATTGTGGTAATAGCTCCCTCCAGTGAAGGACCTAACCACATTCCTAAAAGTAGGAAAGGCTTTGGGAAGCTGGGGTCATCATTTCTGGGACCAGAGTTAAGGAACTGCTAAGATGTGCACCATCTTGTATCTCAGCCAAAGCCAAAATCAAGACTGTGTATTCAGACATGAGCTCCTGCACTCCACACCTAAACTTTCTGAACCCTCTACCCTTTGCTTGAAAAATCATGTGCTTCAGAATCCGAAGCAGTCATTCCACTGCTGTCTGCCACTGACTTTTAGGATCCCCCATTTCACAGGAATAGGAAGACAGAAATTCTAGTTTGGAAAAGCCAGAATTTTTGTTTTCTAAATGAAATGTGGGATATGTGACAAGGAAACCTTCTCTTTACTAACCACAAACAAAGGCAGCAAAATGTAGCTGGCTCCCATCTCTTTGTTCTAGTAGTTTATGTTATGAATCAAAAAAAGCTCCAACCCCACCTGGTGCTGAACTAGATGAACTCCAGAGATCACTTCTAACCCCAACTATTCTGTAGTAAAGTGACTCTAGTTGAACTATCTTCAGGAACTAAGCTGGGGAGGGGGGACAAGGAACTAGCCATGCTACATATGTTTCATAGCATTTCAGCTTATAAAACTTGCTAGAAATAAAACTGAGATAATTTCATGTCCAATTTGTCAGCAAGTGTTCTCAAGACAAGGAATTTGGATTTACACCACTGATCTGATTTCCTTCTAGCAAGGATGAGATAAAGCATGGAAAAGAACTGTAGACTTGTCTGCTTCAGCATTAAACATTTTGAATGTTGGTTGATGTCTCTACAGGTGAAATATTGTGGGTATTAAAAAAAACAACAGAATTTACTGTACTGAACTTTATAGTGTTGGTCCTTGTCTTCTGCCAGGTAGTGCTTGTTGCCTTGGAAGACTGTGTTCTCCCCATTTCACCCCCATAATTCACAGGGTCAATTATGCAGAGATAGACAGAGAGAGCAGGAGAATTATTTCCTGACCCCAGGCACTGTCAGTTGAAAGATTCCTTTATCTTTAGCTGGTGATGTCTTGATACCAACAGAAAGTTATTGCCACTGCTGGTAAATAAAAACATTTAAAAACCATTACAGCAAGATATGTAATAGGTTTTCTTTCCATCAAGATTTCTTTGTGCTGTTTGAAACACAAGCAGGGATGAGCCTTTCTCCCAGTGGTGGGTGGTAACAGTCAGAGCTCCTCTGACCTCCTCACATCTGACAGCCCTTTCCCTCTGCTCTTTAGGGAGGGAAAGGTTGAAGGTCACCTCTGCCTTTCTTGTTTCCTTCCCTGATGCTCTCTGAGAAGGAAAGGCCTGAAATTCATATCGGTGACATCAAGTACAGGGTCTCCAGTGCTACTGCACTTTTAAATTAACAAAGCATCAAACATTGTCTCTCCTTCTTTCTCTCTCTTGCCTTCTCTTTCTCATTTAAAGCTAAGCTGACCAAGCATCTCCTCTGCCTGATTTCCATCTAGGGCTGAGCATCCCTACTGCCCTCTCAACAGCAGGCTCAACTTTCCCTGTTCCTCACTGATGATTGGACTTCAGCCATGCAGTAGGATAAATTGGAGAGAAAGCTGATCTAATGTGTCTGTCTCCCTCTTGAGCCACCCAATACACCTCTAAGTTTCTTTCACAAATCTGTGTTTCTATGCGTTTGTGTTCCTAAAAATGTTTTCCAACCCACCCAGCTCTTCGCCGTTTCCTTTCCTATTTCCTTAAAATCCCATCCTTAAAACCACCATCACCACCAGTCTGCCTGTGTGGTGGTATAATCCCGGCTGACCCAATATGGAGAAGGCAGAAGAGGACAATGCACAGGTCAGTTTTTTTACCACTTCCACTTAATGGAAATATCAAATGAAAAAGAAATAGAGAAAGAATTAAAAGAGGCATAGAGCAAGGTTCCTCTATAAAGAAGACAGGTTTTTAACTAGAGAGCTGTTTTAATCCACTTGCAACTACTCCTGTTTTCCCCTCTCCTGAATTAATGCATTCAGGACATATAATTGTGTATGATGTACATCTACAACTCTGAAGCTCCTCACTTCCTTTTTTTTTTTTTTTAATGAAACATCAGGATGTTGGTTTTTTTTGGTTTGGTTTTGTTTTGTTTGTTTGTTTGTTTGGTTTTGTTTGTTTGGTTTAGTTTGGTTTTTTCTTTTTGTTTTGGACAAAGACTTATTAAACAATGCAACCTGAATTGCTCAAGTCACTGAGTTTGCTCAAGCCTGAGGAATGCATTCATTATTATTATTGCATTTAATTAGTAATTACATATAATCATAAATTGTGCAACAGAAAATAAGTTGTGATGTCTCAAAATCTAGTAGACTAGTAAATTCTTTATGGAAGAATGCTGGTCAAACTAACTGAAATCACAAACTTCACATCGAATAAACCAAGGTTTGTGTTTTATTGTGTGGGTGTGTTGGGTGCGGGGTAGGGACAGGGGTGTGTGGGGGGGTGCTGTGGTTTTGCTTTGGTTTTGTGGTTATTTTTTTTTTTTCCCTTCAAAATTATGCACAGAACACTTAACTCCACCTTTCAAGAGTGTGTTTTAGGTCAATGTCCCCTTTTCTCTGCTAAACCCACAGATCATTTTCTCCCTTAAATGCAGACAATTATCTGTTGTTTGAAAAAAGATAATTGAAGGACTTCTGATGAAAGTGAAATTTTCCCACAATTCAAATAATAGTTCTGAAAGCCATTTCTTGTGAGAGCAATAGTTTAGCTGTCTTACATCCCCAACCTTCACAGGGTTGGGCTCCCCTGCCAGGCTACAAATCCCATGGTGCCCCCCATCCACAGCATTTGCCTGAGGCACCGCGACAGCTCAGGTCTGGCCGCTTGGAAATTGAATTTCAATTTGAGAAAAGCCTAAATGTTCTTCTTCAATCAAAGATGTCAGACTAAAAAGTTTCAGTGTTTCTGGAACTCCTTGTGCCAAGATGGGTTTTGATATTCTGCCTTTACATTCCAATCCAGAAAAAACACAAATGTTGACAAAACTGTAATTGCTTAAGTCAGCTTTCCTATTTAGGTTCGTTTTGTTAGAGTAAAGCAGAAGACTGTGAGGGCATTTAGACCTCTCTTTAGTTCATTTAGGAAGTTTAAAAATAAGGTGGAATCTGTTGCCCTCTTAAAGGAATAATAGTGTTTGCTTTAACTATTTTAAG